TCCTATATTCATTTCCTAGTACAGATGCGAACGGATAAGAATTTCCTTTGATAATTGCTAAGCTAATTTACTGTAAAAGGCAGTTGAATGTTTACTTTGGACATTAGTCATCGTTGTTCTTTCAACCTTTTGAACCATTACGTCAGTCCACCATGTACAAAATTTACAAGTAATCATTATTTTTCTGATTCCAATTTAATGTGTATACTTCATCTTTTGAATATTTCATTTTTCTGAGTGTACTCAAAATTTAAATTGCATTCCCGATCTAAATCATGTGACAAATACTGTGTATAATATTTCATAATGTTTTTATGCGTATATTTTCTGAATTTCCTTTACATACTTACGTACTTCTATTTTTGAAGTCTATTGATAGTATCCTCTTTTTGAATTCATTATAACTTTCTTCGAGAGCACAGACTTACATTGATTTTTGGTTCAAACTTTTGATGTTTGTTTACATATTTTTGAGTGGTTTTGAACTTTGACAGTATTTTGTAGTCTGGATAGTTACATAGATTCGTTGCGATGTATGCCTTTGAGGGTCTTGTACTATCCACAGTTTCTTTAATTGAAAGTGTTTTCTTCATATGCATTTTATTTTCTTCTTGAGACTTGTCATATATGCTTTCCGCCTAGTTGCAAATCTGTGCGTATTGATAAACTCTTGAAACCTCTGGCGTATAAGTAAAACTCACTTTTGATATAGTAATTTATGTCTCAGTTCAAGTCATTCAGTTCAATTTGATTTGAAGTATGTTAATTGTCAATTCCTTCTTGGGATTTTTCATATATGCTTTCAGCCTTTGTGCACATTTGTGCGTATTGCTAAGTCTTGAGGTTGGTTGCGACATTGCTTTCATGTTTCGCTATAGATTTTGAAATATCTGGTGATTTTGCTTTTGCATTATTGCATTTGTTTTGATAGTCTGCTCTCATAATTTTTTTCCGACTTCTTATTTCTTTCAATTTCTGTCTTGACTTGAAGTAATCGCCAATTCTTATAGATTCAGTATAGTAATTCTTTTTTTCATACTTTACACTGGTAAATTATTATAGTTTTTCTAATCTTGTAATATTTCATATTTGAACTTAACTTTCATTTTACAATGATATGGTTATGCTCAGTGTAGACTTTGAAGTGCGCTGATGATATCAGTGATCTACATGAGAATATTCCATAGACTATAGACATTCTTGTCTAGGGCTTTGGAGTGCACCTATGGTGACCCTAGAAACTTGTCTTTCTCTCATATTTTTGCTTTAAATCAAAATTCGAATTCTTACCTATCATATTTATTTCTATTTCTTGTTCACTAGATTTTTTTTATAACTCCAATTTTGCACCTACATATATCGTAGACTTTTGCATTCAATTTTTGCTTGCGGCATTACTCTCATGTATCATGATTTATTAAAATATCTTGTGATTTTCGTTTCGCTATTTTGCATTTTACATATGCTCACTTCGTTTCTCATTTATTACTCGTGAAACTTTTAATATTTTGCTTACTTTTTTTTTGAGAATTCTTTATAAAATCATGCTCACATAGCTTTGATATTTCCTTGCACTTTATGATTTTAATACTATTAGATTACAGTTGCACTTGTGTTGCACTTAGTTTTTCTTGGAAATTTATTTTGCTCTTTTCTATATTGAACTTAGAATTTTTTTTTAGTCTGGTTCTTATGTTGTCACATGACCCGAAAATTTTGATTGAACTTACTCTTGAATTTTAGTTCATTGATTGAACTTAAGCTATATTTTGACTTTGAAAATCTTACTTTAATATTTCATGAATGTCTCTTATATACTTTAATTCTCTGAAAACATTTTGAATTATTTTGTAGTCTTACAGACTGCTGGCGCCCAACAATTTTTTTTTTTGTTGAATCAGAACTGCACTTAGTTAACATTTTTTTTGATTAAAATACCTTCGTGATCAAGTTTTCATTGGTTTAGTACTTGTAAATTGTTTTGTTATATGACTGGAATTCTTAATGGAATTTGTTAATTTCTTTTGATTTTCATATTTTGAAAATAATAATGCACTGTTTTTTTCAATATTGGATATTGGTTTAAAATATCACTGTATATGATATTCTTTTTGGGTTTGGAGTATTGCGAGATAATCTGGCAATTGTTTTGAGAAAAATTATTATTATTTTTTTAGTACCTCTTATGGTTTAGGTACTTACTTAGTTTGAAGTTTTTAGTAGTCAGTCGTGCATTTTGGATGCCATTGTGATTCGTGCTTGGACTACTGCTGAAACTTTTCGTTTATTATTTTTCTCGTCTTAGATATGACGATGTTTTATGTTTTGGGTTTTTCCTCATATGATGATAGTTTTTTTTAAGTGCAACTTCACTGTACTTTTCAGCGAGTTGGTGCTATAACCATCCCTCTTGTTTGGTAGACTTGAGGCTATCCCTTTTTCTTCCAATTCTCTTCTAACATTTTTGTTTCCACCTTACTTTTACTACTTGTTATCTGGTCGAATGGTTGTACATTTGTCCTTCCGTGATAACTTTCAATTTCCTAGTAAAAAAAAAAAAAAAAAAATTCTTAAATGCTTCTTCGACTTTTTTTTTTGGTTAAGTTGGGGCGAGTGTAACGGTTTCACCGTCCGATCGTATTTATTAAATCACTTCTCGATTATCATTTCATTAATCCCATCTCTAGCTTTTTTGCTTGGAAAATTTTCCGCTTGGAGCGCTTGATGCGGAGTTCCAGATCTGCGATCTTCCTCGCGCTTTTTTTTCACCTGAGCCGCCGATCGAACAACGGCTAGAAATTTCTTCTCAGTAGCACAAGGTTATATAGCACCATGTGCTAGATTTCTAGAATGTGTGTCCGTATAGGACAAAAATGATTGGGGCCACCCCCTTTCTCTTTCCCTTTCACTTTGCCTAGCCTTGGCCAATATTTTCACCCATGCATGTGCCTTGGCAGCGCCATCGCCTTTAACTTCGCCTACAACTGGTTGTGAAGCCACTATATGGAGGTCACCCCTCATAACTGGGACCTTCCCTTCAAGCCCCTGGCCATCCTGGCTTCAGTCGAGTAAAAATGGACCAGCGAAAGATAAGTCGATAGCGTTATAGCAGCGCCAAAGATGTAAAATGTATTTTGTTCTTTAAAACTGTAAAATTGTAATGTAATGGAAATGTTTTTTTTTTGTTAAATAAAATCTGTTAAATTTTTGTGTTCTGTTTGTTCTTCTATCCTCTAGCCATGCCATGGTCGACACACAGCTACACGCCTTTAGATGTCCTCATGCCACCGACTGAGCTACCGGAAGCTAATTGTAACCCCCTTTCTGTGATTGTGCAGAAAAGTTGGAATCTTCATTGCATTCCATCTTTTCTGGACTTTTTGCGGAAAGGAAGCGTTACACCCACACGTGCTCAATTGGGCATAAATCGGGAGATCTTGGTAGCCATGGTAACAATGTGACATCATTATGTTGAAAGAAGTCTATTGTGACTCTTGCAACATGTGGTCGGGCATTATCTTGTTGGAAAGTTGGATCTGCCAGGGTGTCAAGATAGGGTAAAAGATGGGGTTCTAGAACTTCGTGGATATAACGCTGCGCGTTCATGTTACCTCTGATGAAGATTAAAGGTGACCTGGAACCATAAGCTATAGCACCCCAAACCATAACTCCAACAGTGTGATGAACATGTCTTTCAACAAAAAACTGTGGATTCCTCCTTTCACCACGTCGCCTTCTAACCCTGGCATGACCATCGTGCATGCCTAAACAAAATCGAGACTCGTCACTAAAGACAATACTGTTCCATTCCTGATCCCAGAGTGACCGTTGTCTGCACCGCTTAAGGCGATTACGTCGGTGTTCTCGAGTTAAAGGGAGGACCCAGTGTGGCCGGTATGAAAACAAGCCAAAACTTCTCATTCGTCGGTAAACACTTCGCATGCCAATAGGTCTTCCGTGTTCTGCAAACCATTCATTTGCAATGGACCTGGTAGTGAAGAAACGGTCCCTTAAGGCCAATAATCTTAGGCGGCGATCTTCACAGTCTGTTGTTCTACGGCGGCGTCCAGTGCCCCTTGCTCTTTGCGTACGGCCTTCTCGAAGCCATGCCTGACAACACCTAACCACAGTGTCTACACTTCTTTGCACTCTAACTGCAATTGCCCGAAAAGAAAGTCCAGCTTCCCGAAGTCCCACTATACGGCTCCTATCAAACTCACTAAGTTGACGAAATCGTACAGGTCTCCGTACTCTAGGCATCGTAACTGATCGTAAAGGATGTCAAGAACCAAAATCCGCCAACGTTGATTCTTTACTGCGGCTGAAATATTCATTTTTAGAGCGTTAGTGAATTACCAACTTTTATTAAAATAATACCATTTAAACTGGGTGTTCGGATTTATATGTCACTTAGTATACTCCAATAAACATTATTTTATTATTATTATTATTGTTATTATTATTGTGCTTATTATTATTGTTCGTACATTATTCTTATAAATTTGCCGATAAGACATCCATAGTCAATACCTGTTGGGGTATCTAAAACGTGAGTAAATTCCTTCTACTTCACCTAACACTAGACAGACGGACGTATCGATTGATAAGAACGAAAGCTATTCTATACAGCTCTCGTAGATTCGGTACATACTCCATTTGAATGGTTTTCTCGAATAATTAAAAAATAAATTTTATGTGCACATCCACCATTTTTGCAAACAGGTGAACTTCATCCCGTATCTTTCAGAAACTGATCGTGATTGCTTTGGTCCCATGAGCACTTTTGCTTAAAAAGGAAAAATATATCATTCTAAACTTTTCGACAAATCGGCTGGGACCCATTTTCATATGTTCTGTGCGGCGTCCTTCCTTGTAATTAACGAATAGAGATCGTGATGAAACACATTTCTACCTGACACCCCTTTTAATAGGGACTTCATATATTAGTACCAATATCCAGCCACTCTACTTGACCTATTTTTCTATCTGTTCTGTGCCAGATACATTGACGGTAAGATGACGATGAACGAACGTCGAATATCCGGCCCCGGTCTCTTCCCGCAAAACTACTCAGAGTGTCTACAAACTGCCAGGAACCTGTTCAACAAGGCAAGGAAAACCGTGAACAGAACTCCCTATCCAGACCAAGGCATCGTGTTCGACTCCCGAGGTGAGAAGCTGAGGTGGTTCATGTTGCAGCACGAAGCGCAGAGTTTGCTGACCAGCAATGCACAGAATGTCAAGCAGAAGGTGCCATTTGATCCTATTGCGTACTCCTCGAGGAAGTCAGAAAAGGACTGCGACAGGGAGAAGGAAGAGAAAAGAGAGGAGGTTGTGCCGCCGCAGCCCAATCCATGTGGGTCACCTAGGTAAGTACAAACTGTATAGTCCAAGGACGAAGGGCTGCCAGGCATAACTTATTTTCTGAAAGACAAAACGTGGGGCATTGTGTAGCATTCACATATAGGTACTTTGAACGTCTGCGTACCTGCAGTAGGGTATACGGCCGGTTTGTAGGTACCAGGTGAGAAAGGTAAGTAGAATATTAACAACTTAAATTCTTGTGGTAGATTTTTTTGTAAAAGATTATTATAGGTTAAAACTCCAACATTGCCAGACACTTACCGCCGGCCATGACTTCATTCAGATGGTTTGAAGCTTTAAACAGGGTGTTCCCTTAAATTGACTCCCATCTATCCTTTTCGCATGATCATTTAGAAAAAGTTTTATACAAAAGTTGTGGAGTCTAATATAACGACGCATTTTTTGGAAAAAAAAGTTAAAAGATAGGTATTAGGATAAGAAAAATAATAATATGATCTCAAAATGATATCTAAGGGAATTAACACGCTATCACTAACTATGATCAAAGTAAGTTCTCCTATAACTTTCTTCACATAATATATGTTTGTTTAGAAAAAGGACGCCACCCTAAACAGTGGAAGCTAGCCTTAATTATACCTGACCCTATAATCTCAAACCCTGACCTTGAATATCTTAGATCTGTTATTAGCTTGTTACCCGTACTTTCGAAAATTCTGTAAAAAATCATGCAGCAACAATATAGAATGTACTGTAACGGAAACCTCATTTTTACAGTCCAAAGATTAATTCATTACTGTACACTAATTTATAGCGCTTGCAACTAACTTATGAAATATCTATTAACATGTCGACTGGACTATCTAGATTGACGCGTCGGTCGCTGCTCGTTCACTGTCTCGACTGTAACTGACTGCTTCCGCTATCTGGTCGGATATTTATGTAGTGAATCGACGGTTCCCGATGCATTCCAGCATTTTCTACCAACAACTTGATTCTTCCTTGAAGCTGGTAGATGGGGGTAAGTTCTTCCAGGTGGATCTTGATGATTCTTGAATTTCGGCCTAACCTTCTGGATAGCGCTGCAAGCGCTCACGCACTATCGTATAATTGGTTGCCTAAACGTCGACATCACCAGGGCCTCAGTTCTACGAAGGCATTACGTTACAATGTGATGCAAAACACCAAATAAATCGTCTTAGATCACGCTAAGAATACGAATGTCAAAATTCAGTAAAATGTATCCAATTTCGAGCGTCTATTAAATTTTAATAGATTTTTCAGAACATTTAACTTTTTATTTTCCAGACACTACAGTCTTCCATCTATAGACGACCCTCGAGTCATCCAGTGTTCATCGCCAGTGCCATATTTCCTGCAAGACGTGAATGGTCTGTATTATCCTCAGATCTCGCAGGGTACAGTTAACTTCGCCGTAGGAGAATCCGTGAATTCTAGTTTGAATCATCAGTTGCAACAGAATTTTGCTAGGGAGAGATGTTTGAGCTTAGGAGCACCCAATGTGTCACCTCCTTTGCTCAGCCCATCAACAAGAGTTAGCTTAGGTAAGTACAGCAGAACTTGATCATGTACTTGATTTCATAGATTCAAAGGAACATCATATTTTAAACAATTATTAGTCTTTTAAATATGTCTTTTGTTTTGTCAGCTTCTTTTATTGCAAAACTATTATTTATTTTCCTTTCACGATTCTCTATCGTCCTTCATGTTTGCTTTCCTCATTTTAAATTGAGATAAGAAAGTAACTGATCAAAGGGTGATGTAAAACGGACTTTAGGTTTTTGCATTGCCTTTACCTGGCCAATATATCAGGTATTAAAAGACCAAGACGGATGATTTTAAAATAAATACTCAGTGACATTAGAAGTGTTACACCCAGAAAAAACAATTTATTCAATGTTTTATCTGTGTTTTTGTTTACCTTTTTCTTTTTATTACGTTGGTCATGGAAACGGAAGGACAAGTTTGTTAGAGATAAAACTGTTGAAAATAGCTTTGCTACAAAATTTATTGATAAATGCATATTTTAAAAGTATGTAAACGTATATACACAGGATGGTGCAGAAATTCATGGCATTTTTTTCAACGAGCAAAGCGTCATTATGGGAGCTAAAGGAGCATACAGCCAAGCTGGTATCCCGTGCTTCTTATTCTTCTGCAGATCTAGTCAGCAGTGTGCCTTTTCGGTGGCGCAATTCTGGGAAATGCTAAAAAATAATACTACTACCAAGACATTAGACATCATCTCCTGCGACTTATCCTGTGGTGGTCAAAACGTCGTACAATCAACAGGAATTTAAATAAGTGTAACTGAAATATGTTTTAATCGTTCAAGGTATAATTTATCACTTTGACACTAATTTATAACAACAGCTGCAACTAACGTATGACAAATCTATGACTAATTCGACTCGACTATGCCATTCTGCGCTACTACTGACTCTTCACCCGCTGTCTGTCCATTGACTCACTCTTCCGCCCTCTATACGGGTATTTATGTACGAAATGACGCGTCTCGAAGGGTCCCGCGCCTTCCAGATAGAACTTCGAGTAGCCTGACAGATGGCGGTCGATTCCTCTTGAAGCGTGTAGAATGTTCGCGATGGCGTCGCCAACGATCCCGAATGCGAACGCCCTCAATACGCGGTCGCGTAATTCTGGTTGCATAAGCGTCGATGTTGCGAGGGCGTCTCATCGGTACCACAAAGTTCTTGTCTACGAAAGTACTACAATATATGTGATTCAGCCAGACAATGGAGTCCTAAGACTGTGTATGTTAGACTGGATGTGTATGTTGTACGTATTTTTTCCAGGAATGGGTAGTAGACAGCGTCAGTTCAGCTATAGCAGCCAGAACGAGCCGAACTCTTTAGAATCCGACGCAAACATGTCACCAACAACTAGTCTGACTTTGCTCACCGGATACGATTGCTCGCAGTGCGGCAGGAGCTCTCCAGCACCTGATTTGCAGACTTATGTCACGGAAATGACCAAGGAGCTTGCCACTAACATCAAGTCAGAGATTCGAGAAGTGATATCAAAGGTAACTATTTATACATTGTTGTAAATGAATTGCACGACATTATCACCGTGCTAGATAAATTTGGAGTAGAGTGCTGCTAAAACTTAAAATAGAACTTATTATGTTGATAAACAATAATTTCAATGTGATGCGCTGATGTTTGTTTTCACAGGGAGTGAATGAGATTTGAATACACTCGTTAAATCAGATTTTGACGCTTTTATGAGGGAATCTTCAGATTTTTATATTCACAGCTTGTAAAGTGAAAACAATACAGCTTTTATGGATCTCTTTTAGGATTATCGAATTGGTGGGTTTTAAGAAATAGTGCAAAAACATAGTTTTCTTGTAATGGAAAAAATACTTTTTTATATTTATCGAGTATTTCATAATAATACTGGAGGGAAGCTTATAAAAAATAAACATGTATCTCATTAAAAAAATCGCCAGCGATTTATTCTTTTTTTTTACATTTCTTCCTATATATTTGGCGACTCATCACAAAATAAGATGTTTTATGTTATATACGAAATCCATACGGTATTAAATGATTATTATTAAAATAAAAAAAAAATGTGTTTAAAATGTTTCAGGCTACGATCTACGAATTTGAAGGAATTATAGACAAAATTTGTCACACATACGAAAATTTAATAGCGAAGCAAGAAAAGAGATACGACTGACGCAGTGTTTATGAGTCTGCAGCTGAAGTTACTATCTTAACCTAGAATTCCGCACAAAATATTAAAACCAAGGCTCAACACCCTTCAGCTCCAAATTTGAAGCATTCTAATTGCGTACCTACTAAATTGCAAACTATGGGATGCATAAATAACCGAGAAAATAAGTTTCGCTTTCACAATAATTTTAAACTCCCCCATAAGGAAGCCATTTGTTCGTCATGAAGAAATAAAAGTTCAGCTAAAAATTAGCGAATTCCTCCAGTACGTGTTCCTTCTTATATACACCACTCCAATTCAGATATAAAGTATCAGTATCTGCAAACAGTAGAAATAATTTCCACCTAAAACGATAGCAAATTATGAAATATGGTTCCATACTAAAGTAATAAATAATAAATCTTTTAGGTTGAGGATGTACTGGAGAATACAGATAGCGCTGGGTCCTTTTACGAACGTCATGGCAGTGGCAGTGAAGATGGAAGAAGTGATTCTATCAGTGCAAATGAAGTAGCGGAATACCTGGAAAAGGTGAGAAAACAGTAACTAAAATATTAATTAACGCATTGAAAGGTTCCATGCTAAAATATTGAAATACCCTACTAAAGCATTGGTTGCCTCGTAACTTGTAGAATTGTTTTTATATAAAGGGATTAGTTAATATCTGATAATAGTTAAAGAGCATCGAAAAGGTGTTTCAGTCAAGGTTATTCTTTGTTTCACTAGGCAATACAGTAAATGTGGATATTTTAAATCTGTTATCTGTTATTCAGTGGAAAACATTCAAATGACAATACATTTGGGATTATTGATAATGAAAAAATTGAAGTAGTCGAATCATTCAAATATCTGGGTATACATGTGGATAGGAAACTGTTGTTTTAAGATCACTATGACATTATTTTTACCTTTATACAGTTTCCCATAACCTCAGTAGGTATCAAAGAAGATGTGTATAACACGATACTTCTTCCCAATCTTTCATCTTGTTCTACTATTTTCTTTACAAGAAATGAAAACATATTTTCAGACTTACGACTTCTACAAAATAAAGCCATGAGAATGATTTTAAATTTGTTTGTTTCAGATTTATTTAGCTTGAATGCTACAATATCCATAATACACATATTAGACAGTATATCACAAAATATATTATGTCTTCAAGACTACATATTTTTATAAAGAATTTCACTACTATGAATTCTGGTTTTCTATGAGATATTTTTTCAATTTTCCTTTGAACATTTTCAAACTGACACACATCTTGATAGCAGTACTTAATTTATTAAATTCGTACAATACTTTTTGAAATACTGACTTGCTCGTTATATTGCTACTGCAGTTTTGTAAATGAAAGTCTAGTAGCATAATTGTGGCACTCATTGTTCAATACAATAAATTTTTCTAAGTGATTTGGTAGAAGATGATTTTTTAACTTGAATATGAAAATGAAAACTAAGTAGGCTATGAAATTTTTGATATTTAACCATTGTAGTTCTTTCAGCTTAACATTTATTCTAGTATATTTATTTTTATTTAAGATTATTCTCATAGCTTTATTTTGTAATATTTGTAGTTTTGAAAATACAGCTTCATTTGCAGTGAACAAAATAGTCGAACAATATAACAAATGAGGAAGAATGATAGTGTTGTACACAATTTTGTTATAATAAACGCTTAAGCTATGCGAAATTCTATAAAAGTATTTTATTCTCTTGGAGATTTTTGAAATAATATATTCCTAGTGCCCTTCAAATTTTAATTTACTGTCTACGTACATGCCCAAATATTTAAATGATTCGATTGACACAATTTTTGCATGATTAATTGTAAGATTTATCGTATTTTGATCTAAAGATTTTCCTATTCGCATATATTTTGTTTTGTTTGTGTTTAGTTTAAGTTTATTTACATTTAACCAATTTAGTACGTTTTTCATATCATTATTTAACAGCTCTATTGCAGTTTCAATGGCTTTATTTGTTATATATATATATATATATATATATTAATGTATCATCAGCAAATAGTTGAATTTTGCAGTGTTGTAAAATACCAGGAATATCGTTAATATATAAAATAAATAGTAATTGACCTAATTTGCTACCCTGTGGCACACCTACCGAAATCTTTTTAATGTTTGATAATGTATTGCCAATTTTAGTTCTTTGACTTCTATTGATTAAATAATTTTGTAGTAAGTTGAATACTGAACCTTGAAATCCATAGCAATGCAATTTCGTTAACAATTTCTCCCTGTCAATAGTCTCAAATGTTCTCTTGAAATCCAAGAACAAATGTTACTGTAAACTTTTTTTCATACATATTTCGCCTCCATTCTTCTAATATCATTTGAATTGTGGTTTCCGTAGAATACTTTTTTCTGAATCCTGCTTAAAATTTTGTCAATATCTTATTTTCTTCAATATGTTCAATGACTTGTTCATATATGGTTTCTTCTAAGAGCTTCTCGACCCCTGGCAGTACATTAATTGGCCGCATTTTTGTATATAACTCAGAATTTTGCACTTTTGGAACAGGAGTAATTGTAGACCATTTTAATTATGAAGGAAATTCGCCATACACTAAACAGAGATTCACTAACAATAATAACTTCTCTCCAATAATGTTGAAACATACCTTCATAACCATTTTTGGAAGATGTTCACTAGGATTTCTATTCGATTTCAATCTTGTAATAGTTTTTGAAAGATGGCTGATATTTATTGTTTGGAATTGTCTCATAGAAGAATTATAAGTAACTTTCATGTGACATGGATTTGGATCCCCATCTTCGATTGATTCCACTATCTATCTCATTTATACTTTCTATAAAATAAGCGTTCATTCGTTCTGCAATCAATATATTTTGTGTTACTATACCATCTTCGAAGCACATTCTTGATAATTCATTTTTCCTACTGGGAGATACAATATTTTTTAGTGTCTTCCACATCATTTTACTGTTATTTTCATTGCTACCGATTTTGTTTTCATAATATTTTTTCTTTTCGTTCCTAAGATTTGTTAAACACTTGTTTCTTGATTTCTTATATTGTATCCAATCTTTTTCAGTTTGAGCGATCATAAACTTTTTATAGTCATTATCACGCGTCAATTTAGAATCTAGAAATATTTGTGAAAACCAGAGTGTTGGCTTTTTCATTTGATATACCACTTTCCTAATTTGTCCGTCTCTCATGCAGTTCTCCATACAGTTCATAATTTTTGAGAAGTGATTTCTCTTGATTCTCTCTCATTAAACATATTCACCACCTCGAAACATATCCATGAATGGTCGCTTATTTTTGGAGTATGTAAAGCCTTAATACTCAAATTCTGTTCATTGGTTATTATTAAATCGATCTTAGTTCGTGAAAAGTTTGTAATTTTTGTGTAGTCATTAACTTTTTGCCATAGACCATGAAAGTTCAGTACTTGTTTAATTTTTTTTAAATAAAAATCTTCAAAATTTATATTGAAGTCGCCCAAGTGCACAGTGAAGCAATTTCGATAAAAACAAATATGTTAAGATTAAGCCTATGTTAGAAGAACTGCAGTGGTTGAATGTAAAAAATCTTATATGTTAGTTCTCATTTTCAAATTAAAAAATCATTTATTACCACCACATTCAGAAATCTGTAATTCAAAATGGAGAATTTAAATTTAATAGATTGTATACTGATATGATATAATAAAAATCATTATGAGTACCGAAAATGCATAGCGATGTAGTTTTATTAGACAAGAATGTAAAATTATAAAAAAAATGATTAAAAAAATGTGTAAAAGAACAATTATATAATAAATCTTCAACAAACAAACAAAAAATGATTATGCACTCGATATCGTTCCAGGTGTCCATCGAAATGGCTAACGAAGTGAAATCAGAAATCAGAGACGTAGTGAGCGCAGTGGACGTCTTCATCACTCCAGATAGCCAGGAAAAAAGATCTTATTCCAGAGCGTCTAGTGCCGGGGAAGATAGAGCAATGCCAGACATATACACTCCGGGGTCTAGCAGCGAAACAGTCATTCAGATGATCAACAAATCCGTAAGCACTAACAAATTAGGCGAAGAGGAAAAGATGAATAATGAAAAGGCCTGTAAGAGTAAGATTCTGTCGTCTACTGTGGCGAGTGTTAGCAGCCAGGACAGTGGAATCAACTTATCTTTCCATGAGCATGATGCTGCTAATCAAAACCATGAAGTAAGTTTTTCCTATACACCATCGTGGCTTCTCTATCTTTAAGTCTACAGAATATCGTTTGCTGTAACTGTCTTCGACGATAGGAAATTGAGATACTTGATACTTGATACTTGAATTCCTCGTATCAACTTATGGTTAGGTGTGCCTTTTTCTATGTTTCAATGCATAAGCTACAAAAATAACTTGAGGCACTGGTACACTTGGCTTTTTTGTTCATAAGTGATTTTACCCATATTCTGATAATGGACACTTCTTTCACGAAGAAGACAATAGTCGAGCCTTCAAAAGCAACCAGGTACAGAAACCAAATTATACAGGGTGCGGCAGAGAGGACGGACGTTTTTGGGATGGGTAGTACTCTCCGCCTCCGTCTACGAGAGAGGTGGGGAGAGTCCCGTTTGACTCGTGAGATCTTAGCATTATTTTACCAGTTGTCGTTATGGAGCCTTGGACGGTGGAGCACCGCGTTTTCGCCTATGATTGTTTCGTCCGAAATAATGAGTCAGTCATCGTCGTACAGCGTGAGTTTCGTCGCCACTTCAACATTCATCGGAATAGAGCTGTTCCCTCTCGAAACACCACATGCCTGATGTGATTTTCCACACTTGACTGTCTCAAATGCTATTTCCTTGTGAACCTGATTCCATCAATAAATTTGTTTTCGAGTAAAATTTAACTATTTTATGATTTTTTTTAAACCGTCCATCCTCTCTGCCGCACCCTGTAGTTGGGAATTCTTATAATTTGGTAATCATCAAATTATATAATAATAACCTTTTCTTGCAGATTAAGGTCAGGAGCAATTCAGAATCTTTACACGGCCATAGGAAATCGGATTCAGAGATTCGGTTTTCCACGCTCCAAAAACAGAAATTGAAGATCTTCAGGGACTTGAGCGATGGGGATGAACGGCCATTATGGAACTGTCCTCAGAAGACCGTGTGGCATCCATCTGTAGATGCGATAACGGAGTTTGACATGATTAGGGACGGTGATAAAGTTATGGTAAGAATAAAAATATTAGATCGTAAGCTGAATTCTGAGCAGAGGACAAAGCACACATGAAAACATCATCATCAAAACATGCTTAAAAAGTTTCTTGTTGAATAAGGGTCTGTACAGTGTGCAGTGGGGTAGGTACCTTGGGTGGCACCCGGTGCTGAAGCTGCTGTTGTCACCCCATCGAAAGTCAAATGCAATAAATTTTGAAATATTGAACAAATAACAAAACACAATAAAAACTACAGAAAAAATACTTTTATCTTACAATTAAAATCTCTTCTTTCTAGCTTTGACAGCTGTAAACTCAGAAATAACTTCATCAAAATTTAATCAATTTAAATCATAAGATTTTTAAGAGAGCCTGTAAAATCCCATTCTACAATAAACTTAAAAACATCTACAGATACCCAATTAGAAACTGTATCATTAGCGGCTTTTAAGTGTCTTCGCAGTCTTGGTACCTCCAAAAGTAATTCTGTTCCTGAGGCCTCACCATAAAAATCAGTAAATTTGGATGTAGCTTGCAGTTCTTCAGTATTTGCCAAAAGCAGTATTTCTTTGTACTTTTCTCGAACAATGAAGCTAGGTCTTGGAGATACTTCGATCTTGTCTGGAGTTCAACTCTGAATCGGTTAAGATATTCCAACATATCTTTTTGAAGTTCTTCTTTCAATGTGAGTCCTACATCACTGGCCATCTCATCAACCTCACGGCTTTTACGATGAAGTCGTCTAACCATTGGAATATCAGAGTCTCCTGATTTTTAGCAATACCTATTGCCTCTTCCACAATGTGACCTTGTTTTTCTTCGATATAAAGACGAAGTGCCTCTGTTTTTGTAGCAGTTAAGCCTTTACTTTGTAATAAAATCTGTGCAATTTTTTTATGTTTGTACATTGTCCTTAAAGTTGAGTCACCGGGTGGGTGTCACCCCAAAAAAGGTGACACTCGATGCGGACCCCGCATTTGTCCAAATATTTTATGTTGCTTGTTTGTACCTGACAAACCCAATGCATATTTTTGTGAATAATGAAGAATTGAATTAAACTGAGCCGCATCAGAGCATTGCCTTTAATTTCATAATTTTGTCTGGAAAGCTCATGAGTGTTAGGTTCTCGATACGATAATGAGAAAATATCAAAATAGCTGTAACAAATATAATATTACAATGTATCTACAAATTCACTTAGCGTTGCCATTGTGTAACTGTTAATTTTTTCAGGTATGCCTGTCTGGAGGTAAGGATTCCCTCTGCCTGCTGCACACTTTGTTGCATTATCAGATTCACGTGCAGTCTAAAGGGGTACTCTTCAGCATAGGTGCCGTAACTGTCGATCCAGATTCTTCTGGATGTGATCCTTGCGTTCTCATTCCGCATTTGAAGACCTTGGGTGTACACTATATTATCGATGATAAAAAGCCTGATCTCGGACTGGAACCAGGTGAGTTAACTTTTACCTTCGCAGAATATTGTTGGGTACGACGTTGTGAGTAATCAAGTGACTATTCACTGGTCAATTCAAATGTTTATAAAATAACATTGATGAAAATAGGTTTGTTCGAAATATTTCAGAGTCCTAAATCCGAAAATGGTAAGCTAATTACTGTAGCACGTACAGTTTTTTTGCTATAAGGAGAAAAAGAGGAGACGACATATTTTTACAATCTTACATATTTATTTAATACAAACATATAAAACATGTAGAATCTATGCAAAAACATCACTGAGGATTGGTTGTTATGTGAATAAAACATAATATATCGCACAATATATGTGATATAGCGACAAAAACGTTCACTTTTTCCTCCACTAAGGGCCCCAGATCTCAACAGTTTAGATTTCTATTTGTGTGGCTATCTTAAGACACTCGTGTATACAAGTCCCATTAACAGAATAGATGCAGCTTGTGATAGAATAAAAGACACTCCAGGGATACTTCAACGAGTGCGCAATTCCATGAGAAGGAGGGCGGAAGCATGCATACCAAGTGAAGTTTTTTTACTCAAAAATGGCGCATCGAACAAATACAATTCAAGAGAGATCATTTGTTTTAAATTGAACGGGAAATTCAAAAATAATTTTTATTTGGCAAAAAACCATTGACGTACCATTTTTTTTAAATATCGAAGTCAATACCCGTACGCACACCACTGTTAAAGCTAAAAATTATTTTGGCATTGAAAAATATGCAACTTTATTAACTTTCACTACGTACTAAATATCAGTGAAATATCTGAAGCGTTTCTGACAATATTGAATAATTTCAATTTTTTTCCTCAAACTTCAACACCTCGAGTTTTGGTACGGAAACATTTTTGGTCCATAGTTTATAAAGCAAACTAACATTAACTTTTCATGTAGATTCACACCCCGTATAACAAAACTTATCGGCTGGATTTTATATCAAAATCTACTTAAACACTTGACACGAGACAGAAACCACCTAAACTGCAGAAAACAATAAAACTCTTACAGGGTATTTTACAATACTGTGCGGTCTTGTTGTACGTTCCGTTCCTAAGGAAGGCAACAATGATTTCAAAGGTCGCATTATAAAAACGAGTAGGTACTTGAAAATGGGACGTGCTAGGCCATTGCTGGGAAAAAGCGTTTTAATAACTTCCTAAATGAAACACAAAATACCCATTCCCATTGATGTTATCAAAATTATGTCGACTTACGCAGCATTCTTCATTTGATTGTCCTTTATTTTCAGAAAAGCAAGTTGAAGCCAAAGAGAACTACTACAGTTTCGGTACAGCTATGTTGAGACATCGTTTGTATGCGGCAGCCAAAAGTTCTGGATATAATGTTCTGGCTATCGGACAACATTTGGACGACGTTTGTGAAAGCTTTTTACTGTCTGTTTTCCATACTGGAAGGCTTAGGGCATTGAGGGCACATTATTATATTAGGTGAGTGTACCAAGTTTTCGAATGAATTTGAAATTGCTTTCGTATTTCTGAACATGTAACGTCGAGCCGAAATTAAAAGAATATTAGCATTGTCTCCTTATCGCGGGTTTACCGTTCTGAATATACTAAATATGGTTGGCTTTACAACATGAACATCTAATTTGTATTTTTTAAAAGCCTGGCCACGTCCCGCCATGGTGTTCTTCGCGGAGATAAAAATATCAGATTCAGCACCGATTAATCGGTTATATTACTATTGCAATTTTGTAAATTAAACTCTATCTTTCCTTTTGTATAATAATTGTGGTAATGATTATTCAATTCTGTGTAGTGTTCTAAATGTTTTGGCAAAAGATGAATAAGAACCAAATATGATATGAAATTTTTTATATTCAATCACTGCAATTCTTGTAACATAGATTTTATTTTGTTGTACTTATTTTTATTCAATATTATTCTCATAGCTGTATTTTGCAAAACTTGTAATTTTGAGAATACAGCTTCATTGGCAGTGAACAAGATAGTTGAACAATATAGTAAATGCGGTAGAATAATTGTATTATACCCTATTTTCTTGGAATAGCTACCAAGACTATGAGAAAAGTAATTTGTTTCTTTTTTGGCAATTTTTGAAATAATAAATATTTAATTGATTCAACATTTTCAATTATTTCTCCATTTATCCTGTGATAGTATTTTCATTTAGGTATTTCCCTATTAACATAAATTTTGTTTTAGAAGTAGTCAATTTTGGTTTATTTACATTTAACTAATTTACGATTTTTGCCAAGTCAGAATTTAGCATTTTTAAAGCAGTGTCTATATCTTCATCTGATATGTATATTAATGTATCATCTGCAAATATCTGAAGTTTACAATAATCTAAAATATTACAAATGTCATTAATGTATAAAATAAATAGTAGTGGACCTAGTTTACTACCTTGTGGTATACCAACAGAAATATTTTTTGATCTTGATAATGTAGATCCAATTTTGGTTTTTTGACTTCTGTCAATTAAATAGTTTTGTAGAATTTTGAATACAGATCCTTTAAATCCGTAGTGATGCAATTTTGTAAGTAATTTATCCCTGTCAATAGTCTCAAACGCCCTTTTGAAGTCCAAAAACACTGTTACTGCATGTTTCCGATTGTCCATATATCTACTCCTGTGGAACAATCTACAAAAGGAGGTTTTTCCCACTTTATTAACCTTAGATAGTTTAAAAATCGGATTAACAAAGTTTCTTTGGGATCCTTTTAGCAGTCCCGTTATCCTGCTTCGGTGCAAAAAAAACATATTGTTCTATTATTTTTTTACTTAAATATGTGCATTGGTCTTCATGTAACAGTTTTTTTTTTGTCTTTAGGGAACACGAGCTGCGGGTAATCAGGCCACTGGTGCACGTCCGTGAGAAGGCTCTGCGTCAGTTCAGTTCCAACGAAAACCTTCCAGTTTTCACCAGTCCGGTGAGTCCCAAGATCTCCAAGGAACGTCAGCGCATACGACAGCTCTTAGCTCAGCAAGAAATTTTGTTCCCAAAACTATTCTGTTCCCTGAAGGCAGCGTTGCGTCCGCTTATCGGTCACGAAATCAAGGGGTGTGAGATCAGGCCCAGGAAGAGGTGGAAGGCTGCACAAGATGGAGGAGGTAGAGAAGTAGATGGAGATAACGAGGAGACTGATGAAGAGACTGTTGTTGAGGTGGCTAAGAGTGAGCAAGAAACAGGTGCTTAGATATGGATGGGAGACTGATAAAGATAATGTCGGGGTGGTTAAAATTGAATAATGAACAGGAGCTTAGAGTCGGGTAGTCCAATGTTGTAGCGGTGATTCATTTATCATTCGATCCGCTTTGTTATTCAGCAGAATAACATCCAATAAATAGCAGTCGTTGACTATATCGTTGAATATATTTAAGCACTTGATAATTATTCATTTATACCAAAATGGCGGAGAGCATGGCGGGGTTTCACATCGGAATAGAGTTATAGTGAAAGAAATTAAAAAAAAAAACATGAAATGTAAGTAATAATGAAATATGACAAAGTTTGCCCATACAAAATTATGCCTTTAAATTTGAGATTTTAAAAAATCTATTGATTACCTACAGGGTGAGTCATAACATAATGACAATCGACTGAAATATAACATCAAATCTTAGTGCAGACGCATAGGTTTTTCCATCCACCACAAGGAATGTTCACTCCATTTTTTCCAGACCATACTCGATCATTGCTACCACTCTGTTTAAGAATACACATTTTTTCCCAACTAACCGCAGAAATCACTATTAATGACAGAGAAGTATCTTTTATCTCCCTAGGTGAGCAATGATAACAAAAAACACCCAGGGAAATAATAATGACATTTAAAACACATCATACAAAATATTTAATCTTGTAAAATCGAATGTAGAGACATACAGTTTTAATAGAGAAAAGTTCTTAATATTTATACGTCTTTTGAGGAGGTAGTTATTGATTTCGCACATTATATCTCTCGCTACTCCGCCTTCGATTGTAAAAGTTCTCAACTAATAATGGCTTACTTCTCAACCTAGGTATGTAATGTACTATTGTCAGTATTCCGTTTTGGAGTAAATTTACCTTTTTTACTGTTATCACCGTTATAACGTGTATGTTATTAACATTTTCTCTAAGAAATTTTCAAATACTCCAAAAAGTGTCATATCAAATCTTTTTGAAAATTAAAATCTGTAAATATCTTAAGTCTGTGAGTTCTTTTGGAAAAAGTCCCTGGCGTAGAGAACATTCATCACCAAATTTTTAGCCAGCTCTTCATCCCTTTCATAGATATATATTTCGTCTTCGATTTCATAAATACAACTTTACTATTCTGCATTTAAGCAAGATGATATTTTAGACCCTATGTTATAGTAAGTTTTCATATTATTGGAAATATATTTTCTGTTCATCATACTTACATTACACTACACTGTATATCATGCACACATTTTTAATTTCGAAATCTTTAAACAAAACAGAATGCACACCTCTTATAAACATTTAATAATATTTCTTTTAGCTATTTTGTATTTTATTCACTATAACTCTGTTCAGAGAAATTCCCTGTCCTTTACAGCTATAAAAACTCTCTATTTCAAATTTCTGTTCCTCTGTATGTTTCCGTGTTATGCTGTTAGGCGTAAGTACTCATTGTTTCTTATGAATCATTGCAGCATTGGGCTAATACGATAGTGTGAAATTTAATGGTTCAGCGTTTTATAATGAACTCGGTATTTTGGAAAAGAAAAATATTTTGTAACATATTTTTTATCGGTTGCAAACTACGTCAAAGGTTTGCAGTTTTAGAACACTGTAAGAGAGTTTACTGTTGTATTTTACGGTGAACATGATGCGAGATAATAAATATGTTTTTATTTTACGAATCTCGAATGGAAAAATTATTATTCAGAGAAAGATACTTTTTCCGATCGTTTACTTTGATCTATTTCTATTAACCTCAACTACCATGACCAAAAACAGTAACATTTATACCATGGTAGGGTCAAATTTGATCCCATTGTTTTTCTACATAAAAAATCGTTTACCTTCTTTTTACATTATTTTGTTTTCAACTAGTTTTACATTTTTATAAAAAAAATAATAATAAGGTTAGTTATTGGTATCCAGTCAAATTAACAAAGATGTGCACTTTCTAAAATTATAAGAAAAATTATGAAAATTTTCAGTTTTTTGGTCTTCAGTGGTGAATTTTAGGTATCATAACTGCTAACTAAAATAAAAAAATTGATTTAGATTTCGTATTTAAAATATAACAAGCATGTTTTTGACTTTACTTTTAAACACAACTTCGTGCGAGCATGATTTTTGCAAATAAATTCTCGACATTTATAGCTCGTTGAGCTTTCTTTCTTTTGATTTTTAGAATATGGACATATTTTGCACCTTCCCTTCTTTTTTCCTCGTTGTGCTCTGGATTTGCGGTAGGCACTGGTTCCTGAAGTCACTGGCCTGATCTAAAGGCTCACTAACACTATCTAGCCCATTGTCCATAATTGTTTGCCCCTGTATTGCCATTACACCCCGTCATATCAAATTACTCGCTCATCCTGATGACATTCGTAGAGCGACGAATCTCGTCCATGAAGTGAGAAATGCTCTCCATGAATCCTGCATTGAGCAGTGGAGCGGCTTTCTGGCGGGAATGCTTGAATCAAGTATTCCTCTCTGGAAAGTGGCAAAATCGCTCAGAAACGGAAGGCAAGAACAACTACCACATATTCATGGTCCTGGAGGCATAGTTTTCAGGACTGAGGATAAAGTGGAGGTTTTTGCTGACGTCATGGAAAGGCAGTTCTCTCCCAATTATGATCTGGAATGACCTTAACGAGGAACGAAAAATTGTAAGATCTGTCAGGAGATACTTCAGAGCGAATGGCGATACCAACATCGGTGCTAACAACGGTGACTCCTTTTCAGAAGATTCTTCTACGGAAGACTCTTCAGATGAATCTCAGCATAGCACATCAACGGAATCCTCTGAGATTCTGTTTTGCACACCAGCAGAGCTTCAAGGCCACATTAAGGACCTAAAGGTGCGTAAAGCACCTGGAGAGGATCAAATCACCAACAAAGCACCGAAGTTGCTTTCGCTCAAGGCTTTGACTTATCTGGTGGCAATAATCAATGCAATGCTCAGAACTCATTACTTTCCTAAGGCGTGGAAGGTCGCTGAAGTCATCATGATACCAAAGAAGGCAGGTTCGATATTCCCCCAGGCTTACCGTCCCATTAGTCTGCTGTCAGCTCCTTCTAAGCTCGCTGAAAAGGTCATTTATCGTTTACCCGCACCTTGAGAATTTCTCGTCAGATCACCATCTGATTCCTGACAATTCGGTTATGTATGAGCTTATTATCGCTGACTAGCCACATTTATGCCAAATGTCATGGAAAATTTCGATAAAAGTGCGTATATGCCATAGAATCTAAAAAGATCATCTACTAATGCATACATACATACATAACTCTAACTTGTGTACCTTTTGATAAAATAAAAAATAACAATCTAAAAAATAAAAATTGAATTTTTAATCTAATTCAGTTTTTTCGCGAATTTTAGGACTGCCTATATGAAAGCCTTGCAAGGAATGATATTTCATGAGATAAGAATACAAATTACTAGAATGACTCAAATTGTGACAATTTGTGTTTTTGAAGAATACGTTTCCAAATACTTTTGACACGTATCTTATTCATACAGCAGCGACATGATATCACAAACATACCTACATAGATACACCCAGGATAACAATTTCATAACACATTTATTAGACGGAATACAGTGCATTAAGTTCGATGTTTGATATAAGATATTGAACAGTTCGTGTAAAAAGTGATGGAAGTAGGTTTATTCCTGGAGTTTAGGTAATCATAAATATCAATTACGTAAACTTTAACATTCGAATTTCTTTACATTATAAATCTAACATTAACGCTTGCGTATGCGATTTTTAAAATTCCCAAAAAGTTTTCATAAATATCAGTCAAACTTTAAAAAATTTGGCACAAGTTCTTTGAAGGGACACGTCAAATACATATTTTGTGGTTTTTACTTAAAAAAATATGTTACTACATAAAACTCTATTGTATGTAAAACCATCCACTGCTACTATATTTCTAAAATAAAAACTTCTAATATAATACATACATCGTTTGTGACAGTGCCTGCAAAATGGACTAATTTGAATCTATACGAATGTATATGGAAGTATAAAACATTCGCAGTTCAATATGAGTATGTTAGCCGGAAAATAATTTTTTATCAGTCATATAAATGTTGCTAACTATAAATCAACTGCTTAAAATTGTATCTATAGTCGATGACAAACTGAGTTCAAATTAACAGAGATATTAAGTCCATAAAATCTCCAAATGTACCAGCCCGAACCTGCATTCACATCATCCTACGATATTTTGTGGAACGATATGAGTCAGTATCTAAATCAGACGCCGCGCGGTGTGTATGTTAACCTAGCTCATCGGAGTTGAGAAACCGGTATTGGCACCTCCAATAGCAAGAACGAAGTTATCAATTTGATGTTACTTATTGTTGATTCTACTGATATTTCAAGGTGAATTCAGATCGTTCAGATGTTTCCGACCCGAGCTAGGTCCGTTTGTCTACATCGTGCAAATACTGTCAAGGTGGATACAGTACGAGTTCTAGATATCCCCAAATATTGCACATTCAGGAAGAAGTCAGTAAAGTAATTTTTTTGCGGGTAACTTCTTTAATCGAACTGAGAATATTTTGATCTGATCTTCAGATTTTTTTCTAACAGACAAAAGAATTAACATTAAATTAGCACCAGATATGCAGTTGTATAATGCTTGTCAAAAAGGCGGCACCACTCTTCTTTTGAACGAATCAAGCTCGCAAACTAAAATTTGGGGGTTGTAAAATTGCTTCCTAACTGATAAAATGTCAAAAGAGATTTGTTATACAGATTCTCTAATTCCAGAACGTTTTTCTTATTTATTTATTGCCATCAGAACATTTAAACAATCCATGCAGCCAATCTCAATATGAATAATAATAGTAACAACAGTATCAAAGAGTATCAAATATATTTGCCATACAAATTACCTATTATTTTTGAGAATGTTATTTAAACAGATGCTTCGTTTCGGTTATTTTTGTTTATCTCTGTTACAATGCGTTGGTTCCTAAAAAATTAAAAGAATGTATTTATAATGAATTCGGCTTTCGGTCTGAGTATAGTACGGAGCTACAGGCAGTTAGACTGGTGGAGCATGTAACCAGGGGGTTCACCATGAACAAAAGTACTGGTATCTTGCTTGCTATCAAAACTTACAATGTGTTGTCAACCACACGGCCCGTAAGAGCCGGTGTTCCTCAGGGTTCGGTCTTGGGGCCAATCCTTTATTCACTTTATATACATGACGTCCCTTGCCCCAGCAACTGTGAAGTCTATCTCTATGCTGACGACACTGCATTGCTAGCCCAGTCTTCTTCTGGTAACCTGATTCACGACAGGCTGCATAGTGCGGTGGAGGAAGTATTGGAGTGGGTGGATCTTTGGTTGATCAAAATTAATACTTCGAAAACGCAGGCAATGTATTGTACTAAAAAACGTCGCGGTGCCCCCTCAGAGATATCAGTGAATGGAACTCGTATACCATGGGAGCAATCTGTCAGGAATCTTGGAGTCATCCTTTACAAGGGGTTGGCCTGGCAGAAACATACTGATATTTTGAAAACAAAATTCCAAATTAACTTTCGGCAGCTATAAATTCAAAATTAAGTTTGATAAACAAGATTCGGTTGTATAAAATGGTCATAAGACCCGCAATCACCTACGCATGCGCGGCTTGGTGTTTAATAACCTGCAGCGCGCCATATATATTTTGGTAGCGAAACTTGACATACAAAACGTGCAGGGTCAAATTTGATCCCGTCATGGTGTACTTAAGGGTTAAAATCCCGTTGCCCAACCAGTTCAACATTACAGAAAATTTGACGGTTGAAACTGTGATATGTCAATCTTTTATTTCTTATGAGTTATTTGTTTTTATCATTGTGTCGTATAACTGCTAATTTTGAAATGCAATCTTTTATAAAATATGCATCGAATTTCCATTTTTTATCTCTTGTGATAGGCAGTACCTGTAGCACCTATATTTATTTACTTATTTCACTCAATATCAATACTAGTTTATGACATAGCTTTTATTCATTAATTTACGATAAAATTATATTTAGTAATTGTTGAGTTCATCGAGAATTTATCAGTAGACCTTCTTACAGTTTGAGTATTTTGGTATAGACTAGACGGACATTTGAAGAAATCAATCTGATATTGAGAATACATATAAGAGTACCTATAAGTTAGGTGCCATGCGCATTTTGTATTTCCAAGGATTGAATATACCTGTAAGTACCAAGAAATTCTTTAAATTATGGTTTTTGATGTTTCATAGTTACTGTTTAGAAGTGTAGTATTTTTTACATTGATTTCATTACTTTTTTATTTGATGTATGGAAAGTACCCTCCATATTCTGATTAGCTACAAAACGGCAACAGCCGGAAAATGTATTTTGATAATTAACGTTGAAGATATTGTCACTGATAATAGTGATAATATAAATAAACTCAGTTGACAATCGACCTTTTGTTGACTTTCTGCAATATTTTTGTTGTAGTTGCTTAAAATAAGGAAGGTACCGTCTATACATATGCGGATCCATTGGTCAGTGTTTTCATAAATGGGCGAGTAATTCTTCGCCTAAACTATGCCAGAGTCACTTTATCGCATACACTTCCATGGCTTTGCCTTTTTGCTCTATCTTTTTAAGACTTGTTATAATCGCAATGAAGAAACCATATTTCCAGTTTTTATTTATTCCTACTTTTTAAAGGCATGAAGGTGCGTTTAATATATTTAACAGGGCACTGGCCTATGGATAGATATTTTCAGAAAAAACGTCTGTGAATTTATTTTTTTGATTTGTTTTACGTAATTTTGTATTCATGCCATGCATTTTTACACTTATGTGTGCGTAGTATTCCTTATGGAATGTATTTTTTGGAATAGTTGTTAATTCCATGAATTAACCTGAAATTAGCGTGTTTCTGATGGTATAAAGCATTACTTATAAATTTAACATTATATAAAGGCAACTGCATGTGTAGGTTACGTAGGACTGCAACTAATACTTTATTTTCACATCAAAATGACTCAGCCAACCGTTCGACATTTATGCATTACAATAACACGCACCAGTGTCAAAATCTGATATCAATCTGGCACTACTGAATGGGTTAAGGTTGTAGTCCTTACTGTGTGACTTAATAATAAGATACTTACATAATTCTATCATTGTTACTTAAGGCATAATAACTTACTCAAAAGGACTGAGTAGTAATCTATATTTTGTATATTCGCTTTTTCCCAATTTTTGTAAAACTTTAAGCTTTTTTATATACATACAAAATTAATGCCATTAGATACTATTTGTTGTCTAGTCTAGCACCACATGATTTTTGAATAATGTATTATGTGATCGTGGGTCTCTTTATATTCATTTTCTTTAGAGAGATCTATTTTTAAATCTCAAGTTTTTTTTATTCTGCAGATGTGTGTTTCCTATACAATATGGAGGTATGATTGTTGACTAATATTTTTACAATTTTAATAATTTACACAATAATGCTTCACTGTAAATTGAGTGCATTTTTTAAGTTTGATTTTTAGCTGCAAGGGAACAATTGATTTCTCATATACTTTTAAAAGTTTCAAAACTGCCGTTTTTGTTTATTTTGCAGTTTGCTTACAGCTTGATTGATACAGTCGGAGTATTTTATCAAATACCATGTGATTTTGATTTGTCCTAGAAACTTCTCGGTTTTATTTATTTTAATACATTTATTTTCATGGTATACGGAATTTGTTTTGTTCTTTCTTGCACTTCAACCGATTAAAGGAGCTGTTTACGATATTTCATGAGGTGTTCCCTTATTTGAGTTTGGTTAAAGTTGTACATAATAGTTTTCTAGTACCGGAATGAACTATGGATAAAGGCAAATTGAGATTTATTGTCTAAGGGCTCCTTAGGGGCTTTGTGATTCTAAAGTATATTATATATTGTTGAAATGTGAGTCAAGATATTTAATAATGTTAATAATACTTAAGTGAGATGTACTTTATCATTTCTTACTGCGTAATAAATGCATTAAATATAAACAATTCTTTTAATAACCACAATCCATCAGAATCTTCACTGTAGATACCTTCATAGTTAGGTTGATAATAATAATGTAAGCATTCATAATAGACACATGTATTTACCGGGTGTTTATAGAGGCCCTGCATTCCCTGTCTCTGAGTAAGGTAAGTTTTTCATTCGCAAGTTGACTGCCACTTTGCTGCTGATCAGAAGTTAACTCTCAATAAGTGCTTTAAAGTTTTTTCTTTGCAACTCCAATTCAATTACAATATTTACAATAGCTGCGTTCGGCTTGCAATTGGTCAGACTGTCCAAACAGATGAGAGGTTCCCAGATCTGTAAAAGTCTGTCTCATTTCAGAGTTAAAATAGAACAGCTGAGCCAACGGAACACATCAAAAAATAACATTTTTTATTTATCTTGGAGCTACACTAAACACTAAATATTTTTGCGCATTCACAAAATAAACTTGACATGATGACAAAACTCACTCAGCTGAGTTTGGTTTAAAAATCGCGCATAGTATAAAGAATCTGTTTTGAAGATAATAAACATATTCAGCAATACATGTGTGACATAATATGTGAGGGCATGGAAGGAATACATCCAGTGATATACAGGGTGACTTTGAAGTTGAGTCATTAATTTTCAGATAATGATTGTAGAAGGAAGATAAACCGAAATATGTGTGTAAAAATAGAAAAAAAAATTAAAAAAAAATGCTTACCTTGTTTTATAAAGTATTCTCCTGACAAGTATTTCAGTGCGGACCTGTATTTGATCGTGAGGTCTTGGAGCACCGGCATGCCCTCCCCTGTGAGGTCTTAAGTCACCTGATTCACGAGCCCGTTGTACTACATTAACAAAGGCACGAGGGGTTGGTTGCACTCGATTGGGAAACCGATCCGCATAAATATGTGCCATTTTTTATTTCGTTTGAGCCACGCAGCAAACACCACTATTCACTCACGCGTTACCGACTGACACATTGACTGAATAAAAACAACGTGATCAGCGTTTCAAATTCTTTCGCTTTTTTGTTTCCGATGCGATGAATCGATAAGGCGGAGTATATCCGTTGTTGCCAAACACGAGCACATAATATTATTATTGAGACAGGGCGGTACTCAAACTTCTAAAGGGCTATAACTTTGTTACTTTAATTTTACCACAAAAATGTTAAAGGAAAAAACATTTCTTTTGATCAGATCTACTCACTGTTAAAATAAATGACTCAACTTCGAAGTCCCTGTATAATACATCCATATAGAGTTACAGATAGTGGAGTTTCCAGTAAATGTGAATGTTATCCTAATCTGTCGCACAGTTTGTTTTCATTATCACAGGTCCGCAGAATCTATTTCTTAGATCTTGTTGTTGTTCTTTCTTCATTAAATTGATTGCAAAGAAGCTTACGTGAGTGGCTAGTCTGTCACGATATTTGATGCAGCACAAAGGTACGCAATGTATCCTTTACAACTAGATACATGTTTAAGTCGGGGTAGATCTTATTAGGTATCAAGCTGATCCCAGTACAGTTCCTTGGGGAACCTCTGAGCAGACCTGACGTAATTTAGTATGCGAATTTCTTTACATGACATAAAAACTGTCTATTTTACAGGTGAAACCTTCATATTATATAAATCTCGAGGGTAATCAGTATTTACTGTGTTCCGTCAGTATTTACCCTGGGATGTGACATTTATTGACCATGCAGCATGGAAGTTGGCAGTTATTGATACACAATGTTACTTAGAAATCCACTGACACTGACGAAATCATTAGTAAAAACTGATGGTATGGACCACAAGTAAATACTGATCGTGTGACATTTTTCCGAAGAATTTACGACCAGCTTTATCGAATGTTGTGCAAGAAATGCGAAGTAGTTTCCTGATCTTCAAATTTTTTCTACTATACTATGTCTGCTCTATTGGTGTCGTAACGGAACCGAAATTGGTGGCTTGGAATTATACGTTCATAGATGGCTGGCGGTAGTCTAAACAGCAGTCTCTTTTTCGAATACTTTTCAGAGCATGGGAAAGAGATTTACTCTTACATACAGTATCGACAGAGTATGATAGAAACACTTGAACGTTAACCTGCGATTGAATAATATACAGGGTGTAAATGTTATGATAGTCATTATTTAAATGGGTGATAGAGGGAGTTAAAAGAAGCAAAAAGTTTCATAATAACTTGGGGGTCAAAACGGCATTTTTCTAGAGAAAAGCGACTTTAAAGTAAAATAAAATCTGGCAACGCCGCAATGCCAGACGCAAATTACGACGGAACGCAGTGTAAATAAAGATGGAGTTTTTTATTTTTGACTCTTACGTATTATTTGATTATTTGATAATGTACTCGTAAAATGCAAACAATTAAAAAACGGACTTACCACTAACTGTCTCAGCGCTTCACCTGGTGTGTGAAAGTTTATTGAACGTATTAAAAAAATCCACTTATAAATAGGGAACACAATTTAGATACATACATTGTTTTTCTTTTTAAAACCCACACTGCACTTTTTTTGTATATAAAGGTGTTCAAAATGTCGTCCTTCACTTTCCACGTAAGCATCATCACGACGAACCCAGTTTCTTCTTACTCTAGGTCCTCGAAGTTGTCCATTTATTATTTCAGCCGCATTAAAATTTTTTTCGCGAAGTTGTGCTACAGTTGTTCAGTAACCAGCCCCATAAACCATCCCTTTAAGTTCTCCCCAATACCAGAAATCCATCGGATTGAGGTCAGGAGACCTTGCTGGCCATTTTCGAGAATGAGGAGCATTTTGACCGATCCAGCGATTTGGATAATGTTCATTCAAATACTGAATGACGCCTCTAAAAATGTGTGGTGGTGCCCCGTCATGAAGAAACCACAAATTCTGTCTCCGTTGTAATGGCATGTTGTCTAAGGTCTCTTCCAAAAGTTCTGGTAGGTTATTGGCAGAAAGCTAAGGTATCCTTCTCCTGACAACTTTGGGGGTAACTCGAAAGGGCCAATTACCTGATCGTCAAGAATACTCAATCAAATATTTATTTTAAAACGTTGTTGGAAATGACCTTCACGAATAGTATGAGGATTTTCTTGGGCCCACGTGTGAGTATTATGGAAATTTAATATCCCGTCTTGCGTAAAACTACATTCGTTCGTCGCTAGAATGTTTTTAAAGAAATCCGGATATTCAATGTTTTTGTGCAAAAACCACTGACAGAATGTTAATCTGCGAGGATAGTCTTCTGGTAACAAGGCCTGGACTCGTTGTACGTGCTAGGGATAAAGCAAATTTTCCCGTAGGATTCTATGGACTGTGGTATGCGATAGTCCTACGCGGCGGCCTAATTCCTGAGTGCTGCTATCTGCATTGATTTCCACGCTATTTAAAATTTGTTTCCTCTGCTCTACAGTAACCTGTCTTTCACTACAAATTTTGGTTTAATTTAGACAAACTTAATGCCATTTATTTGTTGATTACCCAATTCAAAAACGTTTTAGATTAGATTATAAAAATTATTAAGATTGTGGTGATTGTGGTCGATATAAAGCACACTTATACGTAAAAAGTTGTAAACTATAAAGCCAAATCTATTGATTTTTGGACCATGGGTCATATGAAATTTTTGACTTGTTTTGACCCGCCTATTACCCCTTTCAACAATGATTACCATAACTTTTACACCCTGTATATGGTAATGAATATGAAAAGAGATACAGCAATATCTTATAATTTTATTGAACACATAACATGTTCGGATACAATAAAGCTATCAAATAAAATGTAACAGGAACATAACCAATGAAAGTTTCTGGAACATGTGCTGGATGAAGTCCACAGATGTTGTGTTTGGTCCACTGTTTACTTTTTGTCACCACACTGGCATTCTTTATTCTCGCCTAAACAAGGAAAATAATATAAGAATTAAGCAGAGATAAAAAACATTTTTTTAAAAATAATCACTCTCAATAAATCCTGAATCTGACATGCTGGTGCCACTAATTACAAATCCATACGGATTAAAAAAAGTAGCAGCCTTCGTGTGTGACGTATTAAATTTTGAGCTCAATCGAAACATTGTATTGCAAATTTCTGTGGTTTACGTCACGCTACTTGTGCCATTTTCACAACTATGCGAAAATAGGAAATGTGTGTCCTAATGGGAAAAAATACTGTTCCAGCAAAGCAATAGATTGATAAGTGTTATTCGGAAACAAATGGTTAAGAAGTGTATGTTGATTCTAAATGCGGTTGTACATAAACAAATGCTGAACGCTGTGGTCATTCAAATTTTGTATTTGCTCCGGAAGAAATAAAAAAAGTCCACAAAATCCTATTGGTCGAACGTACAGTGAAGAGGCGTTGAAAGTGTCATAAGGCAGGGTATTGCAATTGTTTCAGTGCAATACACACGAGCTTTCGTGATACGATATCTGATGACAATGGCTAGGGCATGTTTCCATTAGTGGAGTGGAGTGGAGTGGAGTGGAGAGCCGTACAAATCTACCCCAGACACTACTCAGCTGACAGGCTACTGGCTTGAGTATTTTGGGATTCGCAAGGTATTTTCTTCATCGATTACCTCGTGAAAGGAAGACTCATCATTGGCACAATAATATATAGCCTTATTGGTGCGTTTGAAGAAAGAAATTGAAAAAGAAGTCGAAAAAAAATATCCTTTCGCCAAAAGACAATGCGCCGTGTTACAAGTTCATTGTAATAATGGTCAAACTACACGATTAACGTTACGCATTGCTTCTCGAACCATCGTATTCTCCAGATCCAGCCCTTAGCGACTACAATCCTCAACCCTCAACTTTTATTCCCTATAATATTTTTTCCGAAAATAGCAGGTGTTGGAAGTGTGTATACTAATATCAAAAAACTGCGATACACCTTCTAACACCCCCCCCCCAAACCCCTAAACGAATTATCAAAAATGATCGGGATCATCTGAAAAGTAAAAAAAAAACGAAGTTTAAGCGATTTTCATTTGTTTCGTTCTTCGCATTTTTCTCCGACGCTACTGGACCGATTGTCAAAAACTACTAAGCTTTTGTGTCCTTGGGATAGTTGTAACTTTGTGCGATAATTCCATTAAAATCCGTCCAGTACCTTCCAACTTATAGCCGGCCAAGGATTAGCGAACAGATAGACCGACTGAAATGAGTGACAGTTTTTTGTGATGTACATGTCATATAACATCAAAAAAATATAAACCATTTCCGAAATTTGCCGTGATTCTCGCCAGTAGGCGTGGAAAGCAAAATTGTTAGAGAAGCATTGAGGTCAATATATCAAACTAGAAGAAGACCGTATTGATGAGTAAAGCCGAATTGTGTCTAAATGCTGCTGATTTAGTAGCAGGCAGCAGAGGTGGCCGCGGTAGTATACTCTTCGGTCTCCTGATCAGTCGCCGTGAGCGGTGCGGGTTCGAGTCCCGTCCCAGGAGAAATTTTTCTCTTGGCTATGGATGTTGTGATTGTCCGTAGGTGGTAGACGGTCTCTGACTGTCGAACGCGGAGGTGCCACCCGGCGGATCTCGTAGGCGGAGCCAGAATGTGTGCATGGACACGTGTTCACTCGCCAGAGTCCGTGTGGCGTCCCCTCATTCCCCTGTATCCCCCTATAGCCCCACGGTACCCAATGGGTGTTTAGGCCTTAGGCCTTTGTGGTAGTTGGAGTATAAAAAAAGCTAAGTACACGGCTTATTGAGTCATATGTTACACTAAAGTTTTGACATCTTATCTATCATAGTAAAGAGAGACACCCACTTGAAGGAAAGTCGTGAGGATCTGAGACTCCTATGAAAGGTGATACGTTTTCGCTCGGAGAGTTATTAACTTCCTATAATTGCTGTCACTGTTTTCATGAAATGTGAACTCCTCCATTATTTTTGTAATGAGCAGATTATGAAAATGAAGTCAAATAAATTGGCTTGACGCTTGACCTCTCCAAGCATTTATCGCAAATTTTGTTAAAGCTTCTGTCGACTTTACCGTGAGATGATGTGAACGCATGATCTATTGAACATTATTTAGTGTACTCCTTTTAAAACATTGCTTGGTGTAGTTCCGATCATTAAGCTTTGATGTGTCGAGCTCACATGACATAATGGGCATTTTACACTTGAAGCTAAACTGTGCCACTCTAAAGCACGTACTAGCGTTCTTTCAGACATTTCAAACTCCTCTCATTGTTCAAGGTAAGTCGGTAACTGTCTGCAAATAACGCAAACTAATTAGCCTCACCTGGCACCTTCCCCCTAGAGCGAATATGAATGGAGGCAGTAGAACAAATAACGTCTCCTTCATGCTTTGCCCTTCATTAGTGTTGTTTCCCATGAACGGCTATACTCGAAACGACAGGTGTTTCATGTAACAGCCGGCGCACACGGACGTATTATGACGGTGCGGTAACGCAACGTTAAAATACGCACGTCTCGGAAATAAATTGGATCGATTCACACGGGACGTCGACGTCCAACGTTCGACGGTAACGCACCGTTGAAAACCCGACGTGCGGTGACGGTTTCGCCGGAACATTTCGACGTTCCGACGGCGAAGCGGTACATCAAGGCATGTACAGATATGTAACTACACCGCGAACCGAACCACGCGACGAACCGCAGAGCGCGCATTTTGACGAACATCACCACAAACCGAACGAAGTCTTGCAGCCACATCGCGCAACAAAATAACGATCCAATTTTGATGTTTGACGTTCAGTGAAAAACAAATTCTAGCCGGAAATGCATATATTTACATTCACTACTAATTATCCAAAAACAAGCGACGACGACGTCCGAGACGATGGTAACAAACGCAGTTATATACCAATAGATCAGCACACGGTTGCAACAATTTGATAGCGGAATTGAAATTTCAACAAGTAAGTGGACAGTACAGACCGATTTTGAATATCTTCTCACGTTGATTGGATCAAAAATACGAAAATAAGATACAAAATGGAGAGCTGCCATCACAGTGCAAGAAAGACTAGCAGTCACGGTGCAATTTTTAGCGACCGGTGATTCAGATAGTAGTTTGCAATACATGTTTCGAATTTCAAAGCAATCGATCAGCTACATCATTCCAGAAGTTTGTGGGGCATTGATCGAAGTTTTAAAGGAAAATATACAAGTAAGAAAAATAATTATTTTACTTCTAAGTACTCGTACATTACAAAATAACACATTGATGCTGGCCGCACCGGTGTGCCCGTCCAAACATGTGCAAATTCATCGCGAGCCATTCCTTTGATGTTGCGCTGAAAAACCGACAGAGCCTGGATCGGGCCGAACGACGAGCTGTAACTTTAACACGTTCACTGCGAACGACGCTGATCCGCGTCCGACCGATGTTTAACGAAAGGCGGCGGGCGCGGATCCGCGCTTCTGGCTGATATAAACTCACAAGACTGTGGTGTTCTGAAATTAATTAAAGAAACATCTTTAATAGGGTTTCAAGACATGTTTCGTGTTACTGCACGAAAAAAAAAACGAGATAGAAGAAGAAAATGTATATATGAAATAGTTTTCAATTACACAACGCACATCCAATAGGCTTACGACGCGAATCCGCGCTTCGATTGTGCAGCGCCTAAAATCGTTTACACCGTCTACACTATGGCGGTGCGGTTCGTCGCGTCGTTTGGTTCGCGGTGTTGTTAAATATCTGTACATGGCTTTAGATTATATCATTGAGTGCACCCGAGCGACGGAAAGCAGTCCGTTGAAATCCTATAAGCCCAGTGAAATTACATAGTTTCATAGTGGGCAAGTTAAGGAACAGTTAAACACCTTTCAAAAGGTTGGCTATTTTCAGGTAGAATACGTTAATCGAAGATAATACTTACTGCACTTGCAGTCGTCTCCGCACTTGCAGTCGCCGGAGCAACAGGACTTTTTTTCATCGGTCGTGCATGTTGTACCACAGGAATCTGAAAATAAAAGGTTGATTCAGTACTATACTATTCGTCATTTGTTTGTCTGGGCGATCCGTAGGACCTTTGCCCATTAGTCACTGTCTAATGTACGTTAGTCGAATCTGTCAGTACTGGTTGCCCAGAAACCAGAAAAAGTCAAGGGAAAAGAGAAAGAGAAGAAAAATGGAGAAGAGCAAAGAAAAACAGAAGTGTTTAGTTTAAGAGAAGACACCAAGGCTTTTTGATTTGGTACACGAATTAATTTTGAGGTGAACTAAACAAATTTTGATTCGGTTTTGTTAGAGTGTAGTTTTAAGCTTACTAAAAGTTCGCGCTAATTTTTGATTACAGTGCGAGCCGTGTCCTTGAATGTTTACGAACTTGCTCCACTGAGTAGTCCACTGAGTCGCGCAACAGAGGGTTCCTGTGCGATTCTGCTTGACTATAACGTCGCTGCGCCTGAAGTTTGACATAATCTCTCAAGTAAGGAATGTCAAGGTCTCTGTGTAGTGTCTCGCTTGTTTGAGACATACCATGGAGCGTTGCAAATTGTTCGCAAAGTTCTACTTTGCAGTACTTGAAGACCTTACATATGTGTCTTGGCAAGAAAACACCAAACCGCACATGCATAATAGCTGGTCTAATAATCATTTTATATAGGCGAACTTTGTTTATCAAACTCAATTTAGAGGATCTACATAACAAAGGATATAGTTGCCGAAACGCAATTTGGAATTTTGTTTTCAAGGCTGCTGTATGTTTTTGCCAAGTCATGCCTTTATCAAGGGTGACACCGAGGTACTTGACAGAATTTGTCCGTTGTACACGATTGCCGTCTACAGAGGCCTCTGCTGTGGGACCGCGACGTTTTTTGGTACAATAAATAGCCTGCGTTTTCGAATTAATAGATTAATTTTAATCAGCCACCGTTCCGCCCACTTGAATCAAGCATTCCCGCCAGAAAGTCGCTCCAGTGTTCGTTGCGGAGTTTCTCACTTCATGGACAAGATTTGTAGCTCTACGAATGTCATCAGGATGAGGTTAATTTAGTTACTGTGAACCAGGCATACCCGAAATTTACAAATGAAGAGTATATTTTCAAACACGGCTAGTGCAAGGATAGTTGTTACAGAACGAGAAATGATCCTTGCCTTATCCCTTAAGAGGATAAAAGCGGGGATCGGGTTGACTTTTTACGACCCATGGCTACTGGTGCGGAAGAACTGAAATCGCGGAAAATGAGATATATTTTTTAATGTTATAAGGCATGTACTTCACGAAAAACCATCTTACTCATTTCCGTCGGTCGGTCGCTATGTAGTTTTTGAAAAATAAAGTAAGATCGCTCAAACATCGTTTTTTGACGTTTCAGAGGAACGCGAACTTTTTTAAAAATTTTGTATGGGTAAAAAATTGGGGGGTGGAGGAGGGTGTACCGAAATTTTTCGATGCAGCATGTTAATACACTTCCAACTCCGGTAATTCTACACACCTATTACACATATTTCACCAATCATAAATTTCCCTGTACATCTGCTCTTAAAACATACCTGCTCTTTAGCTTCATCGGCGGGCATCCCGGTTTTCGTTAATGTAACTTCTTTCTCAAAGGGTCTTTTTTATACTCCAACCACCACGAAGGCCTAAGGCCTAATCACCCATGAGGTACCGTGGGGCTATAGGGGTATACAGGGGAAAGGGGGACCGCCACACGGACTCTGGCGAGGGAACACGTGTGCATGCAACATGCACACATTCTGGCCCCGCCTATGAGATCCGCCGGGTGGTACTTCCACGTTCGACAGTCAGGGACCGTCTACCACCTACGGACAATCACAACATCCATAGCCAAGAGAAAAATTTCTCATGGGACGGGATTCGAACCCGCACAGCGCACGGCGACTGATCAGGAGACCGAAGAGTCTACTACTGAGGCCACTGCTGCTGCCTGTTTGTAGGTTTTTCTATAAACTGATTTTTCAGCAACTTGTACAAGCTGTGTTTGTCCAACCAAAGACAGCCAACCATGGACAACTGTGTCGTGCTGTCTTTGGCAATGAACGAAGTCATAGCAACTATCCTCGATTGAGGATGTAAGGTCTATGTGAGTTTCAAACTGGCCTAATATCGCTCCCAAGGAAGAAGGCGTTTCTTAGAGCTTCTTTTTTTATTACTTTTCTCAGCAATGAGGTTATGAATTTTTAATCTAACGCTTCGTGCAAAGCATGTTTTGCATTGACATAACCAAAATGAGTAAGCTTAAGCGTAGCTTTTAGGAATTCGCTGAAATTGGTTAAGGAAGCACTATATGGTTTGGAATTTATATTGGAAAAGACCAGCTTCTTCAGTCTGGGAGATATTTGACAAGTGATTACACAAGCAGTCTTGGCACTACAGTCATAAGTTGTTTTTCTCAATGAAGTTATTGGGATGTAGTAAAAACATGTCTCGTGATATTCCAAATATATTGCAGATTTTATTGATCATTGTTGGAGGTTTTAATTATCAAAATCGATACGGCAAAGTGGAACATATAGGTACTTCACAATTTTTTGATATCATTCATTGAAACATTCTGCTTACACACTTAAAAGATTTCACATATTTGATCCTTTATCTAATCTACAAGCAACTAAACTCAATAAAATCATTTGATTGGCGTGCATGATCAGTATTGTGTTTTATGGTGATTGTGCATGTATACAGCAAACAAGATGAAGCTGCTGAATGTCTGCATTGTGATCCTTTCATTTGTTTTGACGTATGCTTCAGTGAATGGCATTCCCTTACGTAAGTTGTATGAGATTTTCAGAAAATAGTACTGCAGATAAATTTCAGAGACTCAAGTTGAATGTCATCATCAGATTTGATGTTATTATATTATTGGAAATCAAACTCATAATAATAAGTGATGTGATTTTCCATTTCATTATATGAAAAAGGGAGCAATGGCCACCAGCCTTCATAAAAGCTGAGGCCTTTGAGAATGACAGCTTCTGTTGGATGCAAATATATTTAGGTTTGAGGAGTGGTATCTTTGCAATGCATAATCAGGATGCAGATTTTATTGATTTGGTTTCGTAGTAAGATGAATTGAGGCATTTCAATGGCCAACTGTTTATGCACGTATTGCCACAACGTTTAAATGCAAACTCACACTTAGCTTTTCTAGAGAATTACATAGAAAATATGTTAGATGATGTTCCACCGCATGTTCGTCGTGACATAACCGCATATTGGCAGAAATATACCCGTACATTGGCCTGCGAGGTCTCCTGATTTGAATCCCCTGAATTTCTTTTTGTGGGGCGCTTTCAAACAACTACTGTATCCTGAACAAATTAAGACTGTTGATCAGTTACAAGAAAAAAGAGATAATGCGTTTCATCAAATTCAATCACTGGTGCAGGTTAATTTTAAGTAAAGGCTTTTGAATGTGGACAATACTTAAGTGAATCCACATACCAAACTTTAATGCATTCCAGTTGACAGTTTTGAAGATATTAAAATTGTTTTTTATTTTTAAACTTCAACACCCCGTATCTTTTTAATAAAACGAGGAAAAAATGTTACGTATAAGACCCTATAAAAAAGGTAGTTTTCTATATCAAAAATTGTGCTAATATTACCCTTCAGTGAAAAAATCAAGTGTCGGTACCATACGACAGAGTTTACCGCAGCCTGAAACTTGCTGCGAGCAATTAGAGTTTCTCAAATTTACTGCGCCACATTTGATGATTTAATGAATGTTCACTTAATTTTTAATTATTGTTCATTCGGTTAACAACAATTTATTCATGAAATTCTATTTTGAGGGAAATTTAAAGACTTCTACTTTTACCAATTACAATGGTTAAACTTGAAGCAAGTAATGAATAAGAAATGATTTCCTCCAGCATTTTACATTAGTTATTACAATGAATGCGGAGGACATTCCACTAAGCCGATCATTATTAATTATAATCACACAGATAAAGATTTTATTAATATGGAACAACAAACACATATAAGGTATCGCATTTGCCACAGTTTGCAAAATTGACAGGATTTCAACATTTCTCAGCACAAAATGAAGAAGCGGTTGGAGTATTCGGAAGGGAACAAAACCTTATGCAATTGAGAGGCATTATAAATATACCATGCAAAGAAGGCTATGTGAAAATACGTGGTAAATGTAGGCCTATACATGCTTCAGCTGTTCACGAATACGGTAGGATTTCAAATTCATATTAAATACTGTATATACTTTTTGCATATGTCAATGTTTGGAAGGGCTCTGAGATAGAATAAGTTGGCAGTCGTATCTTTTGATTAAGACAACATAAATAAAAAAATACATATTTTTAAAAAAAAGCTTCTATTCAGCCGATAATAAAACGAACTAAACATTTGGAAATATTTTTCCGATTGGAAATATTTGTGTATTTCTCAACAAACTTAGACATTTCATTTTGCATTTCTTAAAAAAAAAATATATGAAAACATATCCTTTTTGCTGCAGAAATATACAGGTTTAGTTTAGTGTGAGGTTCATTGAAAATGAAGGTCCGGCATATTTTTGTGTATAACATGTAGAAAAATGACATTTTAAAAAACTATGAAATGAGGGAATGACTGATATGATGGGGGAATGATTTTTACAACAATTTGATACTGAGTTTCAATAAAAAACATAAGTTAATTTATTAATATAGTGTTGAGATTTGTTTTATACTTTAGAGAGCTTAGATAGTCCTTCCCTGGGCGTCCTCGTATTTTCATCCTTCTCTAAGATATGAACATCACCCTTAACTTTCAGCATTTTGGAGCTAACTTTACGAGTACAATTCTTTTTGTACGCATCGTTTTTGAAAAGATGTTTCGATCTATATAGCAATTTGAATCTTTTGTACTAATTGCAGCTTCAATATTTTGTAATATTTTTCCTTTTCTCCATGTTTACTTCCAAGATCTTCATAGATATTCTTGAGGTCCGTTGACAGTGCTTCTCCGAAAATGGGTCTTTTACTTGTATATTCTTTAAAAGCGAAGGCACTTTAGTGGCTGGAGAGTTTGGGTCAGTATTTTAAGTTGTCAACGCCAACAAGCTCTTCTTATATTTTTCGATAAACTGGACTGCGTTCCTAAGTTTATTTTCCAAACTTTCAATCTTCGCGTACAGAATAGTTCGCCGCTTGCGCATGCTACGTCTATTGAGAGCAGACAAATTCTCTGCTCTGTGCTGTAAAGATGGTGCAGGACTTGGTGGGGGTGTTTCTTCAACTATTCTCTCTAAATTTGTTTGTAGTGTAACTCGCTTTTCACTATAAACTTTACTATTCTTTTTCCATTGTTTTCATTTTTGGTTAGTTTCTCTTGGGTTCATAGAACTTATTGACTTAACTTGACCTTTACTCTTCTTCTTTAAATACTGTAATCTTTCTTTTTCACGCAAAGCTTCTGAAGACTCAGCATTAATTTTCATTTGTTCTCGGCTCTTTCTGTCGTACTCCTTTTTTTGATTCTTTTTTTTCTTCACTTAACTTCTTCATTTTACCCATTCTTGATATACGGCTTTCTATTAAAATTGAAAACACATGCCTGGAGTTAAACAATAACACCCAAACAACAATTTTATATATGCAAAAATCATTCCCTCATATAATTTTCATTGCTTCACTTTCTGATATAGTGAGGGAATGACGGATTTGCATAAACGACAACCAACCGATAACCACCTCAAATTGATTTAGCATTTTACTCCCCAAAACAAGAAAAAAATCATTAAAACATTCGAACAGTATAATGACTTACCTTTTAATGTAAACAGTGATGTAATGACACAGAAATGTAATGTTCTAATTATTGAAATCCAATACTTTTTGCAGCAACTCTTTTCACTATAAAGAAATTTCACCATGTTGACATTATTAGCAGTGTTGCCAAGTTTCAAAAAATGTCAGCTGCGTGCAAAAATATCAAACGGTGTGACCACAAATCGAATAATTATAATGGGTGAGGGAATGATTTCATTTCAAGGGACATAGTTTGAATAGATTTTTTTATATACATATTTATTTTTTAGCAATGAAAGTTTGACTATACAATCCATACTTATTACCAAATATTTCAGTAATATTTAATTTATAAGAATATGATTTGATTGTATAAATTTTTTATTATTAAAATTTCAGACGAGATGAGAGAATGACTTTTAGACTAATAAATTAGTCGTATTTTTGTCAATATATTATCTAAATTTTTGCTCTTAAATTTTAGAATATGTTTCCAAGTCTAACGGTACGATGACATCTATGATGAGCGAAATATGCGCGTAGAATTACTGAGGGGTTGGAGGCGTATAAATATACCAACATCAAAAAATTGAAATATACCCTCCGACCCTTGTAACCCCTAGCCCCCAATGAACAACCCATACAACAAATTTTCCGAAAATGGCCAGGATCGTCTGGAACGTCAAAAAAAAAGAGCGATTTTCATTTCTTTTTTCTTCTTTCTCCGCCACCACTAGACCGATTTTCAAAAACAACAAACCTTCTGCGTCTTTTGCATGTAAGTTATAAAATTAGCGGACATATCTAGAGGGAGACCGAGTGACATGGTTTTTTGTGAGGTACACATCATTCTCGTGTTACTCGTATAACATCCAAGAACATATTATCTCATTTTTGAAAATTTTCGCGATTACAATACTGCCCCGCCAGTGGGCGTCGGAATTACAAATAGGTCAAGTTAAGTAAAAGCTTGTCAGCAAGCAAACACAACCGATATTTACACTGGAGGGTTTTCCCTTTGCAAAATTCAGGGAATAAATGACCCCCTCCAACAAATTCTTAATTTTTTGGATACTCGCCCGAATTATCTTTTAGTTGTAGTTAATTTGAATTATGGAAACAGATACTGATTATGAGTGGCATAATTTTGATATTCATACCAATTTTCAAACTCCTGGAACACTTTGTGATTTGTTCCACATGGCTTATCTTTTTTCTTATGAAAGCAGAGCTTGAATAGGTCCTCTATGTGTTCAGATTTAACCGCCACAGATCTTTTATTTGTGTGGAATGTACATAATAAGATTTTCATCAGTTTAATATTCTTTCAGGTGGGAATGAGGTGGAGAGCATAATTCATGTACCTTGCAAAGAGGGATACGTATATATTCAAGGAAAATGCCGAGAAATCGTGGGGAATACAAGACGAGGGGCCAGATTATTGTCCAAGATGTATTAAAAAAATACTCCAATAGATAGTTTATAAAAGTAACAATCTTCATTGTTTCATTTCAATACTGATATCGACACACTCAGGATAATGACAATGGCTCTATTGTCGGAGTATGAACAATATGTAATATGTATTTTGTAAAAAAATCCAGCATTGCATATTAGTAGGAGTAAACTATATTTGAAATAGTCTCAATCACAAAATTGCATTTTCAGTAGTTAAAACATATTGCTTATATTCATTTTTCAAAGATGATTCATTATACCTTTTTAGCTTGTGCGTTGGTAAAAACATACTTCAAAATCGTGACAATATATTTCATGCAAAACTGTCAGAGAATTAAGGTTATTCTACTATTCGTCACTGTCTGTCAGAGCGGTCCGTAGGACCTTTGCTCTTGGTTGAAGTCTTGTAAGTCAGTAGGTCTGTCAGGTCTGGTTGCCGAGATACCAAACAAAGTCAGGGAGAAAGAAGGGAAGAAGAAAGGAAGGAAGGAAGGAGGGAGAGCAAAGAAAAAAGAAGTGCATCAATTTGAGGGGTGCCTTGGCATTGCTAGTTTTTAAATTGATCCTAAAATTAATTTTGGAATTGGTTGTTGAAGAAAAATTATAATTTTGGTTGGACCTAAAGTCGCACGATTTAATTTTGTTCACAGTGCGAGTCGCGGCCTTGTGTGCTTTCGAACTTGCTCGACTGTGTAGTCTACTGACTCGCGCAACAAAGGGTTGTTACGCGATTCTGCTTGACTGTAACGTAGCTGCGCTTGTTGTTTGATGTAGTCCCTTAGGTAAGAGATGTCAAGGTCTCTGTGAAGGGTCTCGTTGGAAACATACCATGGGGCGTTAGTGATTGTACGCAAGGTTCTGTTCTGCAAAACCTGCAGGCTACGCAAATGCGTTTTGGCGAGAAAACACCAAGCCGAACTTGCGTAAGTGATCGCTGGTCTAATAACCATCTTGTATAGTCGAACTTTGTTGATCAAACTTAAGGCATAGGGTAGAGTTGCCGAAACGAGATTTGGAATTTAGTTTTTAACGCTTCAGTGTGCTTCTGCCAGGCTATCCCCATGTCAAGAGTGATACCGAGATACTTAGCAGAGCTTTCCCATGGTACCTGAGCGCCATTCACTGAAACCTCAGACGGGGCGCCGCTACGTTTTTTAGTACAATAGATTGCCTGCGTTTTCGAATGATTAATTTTGATCAGCCACCGATTCGCCCATTCCAATACCTCGTCCACTGCACTTTGCAGCCTGTCGTGAACTAGATCCCCAGAGCACGACTGAGCTACCAGGGCAGTGTCATCAGCATAGAGATAGGTTTCACAGCTGCTGGGGCAAGGGACGTCATGAATAAAAAGTGAATAAAGGACTGGTCCAAGAACCGAACCCTGAGGGACACCGGCTTTGATGGGCCGTGTTGTCGACAGAATGTTATTAATTTTGATCCGAAATTTCCTACCCTCGAGAAAGGATTTCAAAGGTTTTAGGAGCCAGAAGGGGAAGCCCTTATGGATCAATTTGTAGAGAAGGCCCTTGTGCCACACCTTGTCAAATGCCTTTGAGACATCCAATAGCAAGATGCCAGTACCTTCATTATGGGTGAACCCGCTGGTTACTCGTTCAACAAGCCTTATGGCCTGTAGCTCCGTACTATGCTCAGACCGAAAGCCAAATTGCACGTCAGGAATCACATTGTGGTCTGCCGAGAAATTTTCAAGGTGACGTAGAATCACCTTTTCAGCGAGCTTAGAAGGAGCTGACAGTAGACTAATGGGGCGGTAATCCTGAGGGAATATCGAACCCACCTTCTTTGGAATCATTATGACATCAGCGGTCTTCCACGCCGTTGGGAAGTGCTGGGTCCTTAGCACGGCATTGATTATTGCCACGAGATAAGTTAAGGACTTCCGCGAAAGTAGCTTCAGCGCCTTATTAGTGATTCGATCCTCTCCAGGTGCTTTACGCACCTTGAGGTCTTTAATATGACCTTGGAGCTCTGCTGTTGTGCAATGCGGAGTCTCAGGAGATCTCTCTGATGTGCCGTGCAGCTCTTCAATTGAGGAATCATCTGAAGATTCCTTTGAGGAAAAATCACTAAGGGAGGAACTACTGCCACTGACGCCGTTGGCCCTAAAATATCTCCTGACGGATCTTACAATATGTTGCTCCTCGTCGAGGTCATTATCAAGGTCATAGTTGGGAGAGAACTGACTTTCCATTGCATCAGCGAAAACCTCGATCTTTTCCTCTGTCCTACAGACTATGCCCCTAGGACTGTGGATGTGCGGGAGTTGTTCTCGCTTTCCGTTTCTGAGCGACTTTGCAACTTTCCAGAGAGGAATACTTGAGTCAAGCATCCCCGACAGAAAGTCGCTCCATTGCTCATTACGGAATTCATGAAGAGCATTTCTCACTTCATGAACAAGATTAGTTGCTCTGTGAATGTCATCTGGTTGACAAGACCTCTTCGCTTGCTTAATTGCAGCTCTTTTGTCAGAAATTTTATGACGAATGTCTGCAGGGAGAAAGGTTATTCTATTCTAAAGGCAACACATATTACGACTCTCCAGAAGTTATTACTTTTGGCGTGAAGTTTTGTTTGAACTTTGGAGTGCAATATTTTCTACTTCTTATTTATAGAGAAGGTGAAGATACTTGCAAAGCATTGGTAACGTCAGTGACTGTGTACCATATGTAATGGCGCCTCTAGCCATGACTCCGTGCGAGTGACATTTAACTGAAAGCTTCATATCATGCGTTTCTCTGAAAGAGCCGTCCTTGTCCGTCATGCATGTTCAAACGAGGACTGAGATCGGGAAAATTTTGATGATGAATGGTATAACATTGTTTTTAGTGATGAATCTTGCTCCGGTTGTGATGAATGATGAACATGCACGAGTCAGAAGACGTCGCGGAGCAAGTTTTTAGTTGAACTTCACGTTCACCATACTGTAGCAGCAATGGTTGAAATACGCCACTTCTAGCTTCCATTAGAAGAGGTATGACGGCGTAACGGTATGTCCAGCTAATACTGAAACCCAATTTGCTCATGTTTAAAATCAAAATGCCAATCGAATAAAATCATTTTTGCTGGGTGTTTTAGTTTCTTTGTCACTGAGTATACTTCCTCGAAAAAAAAATCTTGGAAAAAAGCCCATTAAATTTTCAAGTACAAAATATGAGTTCAAGGACAGTCAAAATAGTGAAAACGTATAATAAAATCGTCGGATTCGGCTCTGCTGGAAATGCTGTAGCTAGATACTCCTATTACAGTCATACACCAACTAAACAGCCGATGTTACCGATTTCATGTATCTATTCTTCTACATACCAATGCATTAATACTTTTGGTTAATGCTCGTCACTCAAATTGTCTAATTGTGAAAAATACTACGTACATCGCAATCCCAACAAGAAAGTTTGAAATCCATTGGAGCCTTATGTCTGATAAATGTGATTTTCAAGCTATCAATTAACTGGATATAATCACCGTGATAACTCTTACATTATTTCATCAAGGAGATTTGTAGAAAGCTGAGAATGTAGTTCATAAAAAATCTACTAGAACGAACGGCACATATTTTACGAATAACGCACGTCAACCATGAAATAAAAACGATGATGTTCGTTCAAAATCGATAGCAACACAGTTCAGTGCACACTTTGTGCTAAATCGTTCGTGGAAAATATGTGGCCAATACGAAAGGCTTCTCGATAACAGTTAAGCAGATCTAATGCGTGTCATCACTGTATGGTGCTTGAATCATTTTAGTTTAGTTTGTGAAGTAATTTGTAGTTCTGATTTGCTAACCCCAAAATGCCTATGGACCACCACAAATACCAACCAATAGAGTTGAATATACAGGGTGTTTTAGTTTATTGTTGCATAACTTTAAGATTCGATAGAACTTTTAAAATTAATGCATAAAGTCTATATAAACTTGGGTCGAAAAATGCGTGGCTTCCGAAATACAGGGTGTTTAAATTTACTATTTAAAATAGTATTTTTTAAATATTTCGAACAATATTTGATGTATAATAGTAAAAATTGGTATACAAGGGTTTTTTGGTACGACAAAACGAACCATGGGCATAGTTTTACTGTAGCCGCTAGAGGGCGCTCGCTACTGTACCTGTAATGTATTAAAATGACCGAAAATATTTTCTTAGTGCAATTTTTTGCTTTTTCAATAAAAAAACTGATTCTTCGCACTTTTCAACATAAAAAAGCTTTCTTGTGAATTTTCGTTATAGTTAGCTGTTTTTGAGATATTTCGATTTTTAAGGTTCGATGCATTTTTAATTATTTATGATAAAATAACGTTAAAAAGTCAGTATCTCGATAATTTTTAGAAGTAGGCTGTGCCTGCAAATAATTTTGAAATTGAAAGCAGAATAAGGTTAAATGTCAATTAGTTGACAGTTAGTCTTGTTGTCTGTTGAAAACTGAAACGTTTTTTTGCCATTGTGAATGCACGAAATTTAGTTTCTTTTGCCTGTTTTTTTTTGGAAGTTTAATAAAAATGCCATTTTCATTCTCCAATCAAGAGTTAGCGGATATTCATTTTGTGTATGGCTTTGTAAATGGAAACGCAGCAGAAGCAGCCAGAGAATATGCACGAAGATTTCCAAACAGACGACATCCAACTCGCTCAGTATTTGTAAGAGTGCATCGCCAAATAAATGAAAATGGTTTTGGAAATCTCCAAGGGGATCAAAACATAAATGTTCGTCAGCGCAGATTTACAAGTATGATTCTGCGTGAGTTTGATAGAGATCCGACCACAAATGTTAGGAGAGTTTCTGGTGCATTGGGAATTTCAGCAAGCCATGTTCACCGTGTTCTTAGAAATGACCATAGACGTCCTTACCATTTGCAACCTGTGCAAGGACTACAGCCAGGGGACGGAGAACGAAGAATCACATTTTGTCAGTGGATTCTTGATAGAACTGATAATAATAGGGGGTTTGTAAGTAACGTTTTATGGACCGATGAGTCATGCTTCACTAGACGTGGAGTGGTAAATTTTCATAATCAACATATTTGGTCGCATGAAAATCCTCATGCAGTTCGGGAAAGAAATTTTCAGCATGAATTTAGTGACGAAAAAGT